CTTTGTTTCCACTTTTGTTTTTGGCTGGGCTCTGTGGAAGAATTACACCAGAAGATGCAGTCATGATGTGATACTGTCTTTGTGTTACCACCCTCAGAATGCAAGCAGGGGAGGGCACAAGCAGGCACAATGTTTCCTAGAGGCACAACCTATCCTGGGGCAAATTCCCAGCTTCAGATCAGACTATGTTGGGTTCTCAAGGCTGAGAAGGGTAGGAATTTTCCCCAGGGTTATGTGGTCTACAGAAGTCAGGCAGAATCTCAGCTCCTATGTTTTGGGGGTGGGGCCACTGCTCTGCTCTCATCAGTGCCCGTTGCCTGGGGGAGGGGTGGTATAAGCTGCACCTCACAAAGTGTCATAGTCAGGAAAGCACTGTCTCTGTGTGCCTGGGCGCTGTATGGGCACTTGGGTAAATGCTTCTTACTGGTGCCTCTAGTGCTGCCTCTTGTTATGGCTACAACTCAATGGCATGGTTAAGCCCTTAGTCTTCGCACCCATTTTCAAACTCAAATCCCCGATTTCATTCTCATCGAGTCCCGTGGCACGATCCCTGCTCTGCAGGTTCATAGTCCCTTTGATTTGGAGGACTCTGCCTGAGAAATAATGTACATATCTACATGAGTCAGAGGATCAATAATCTATAAGGGCCACTTGCTTCCTATTTGAGTGGCAGCCCATGAACACGTATATCATTACGATGAGTAATATGTCTTGTCCCTGCCTGTATAGATCAGAGAAGTGACACGTCTTTCCATTTTGCAAGTGACTGGTTTTTAATTTTTTTAATGATAGTTTTATGCTTGATTTGCCTGGAGTAACCAGTATGCAGTGCAACAGACTTCCCAAATTAGTGCTGGGTAAATAAATAAATAAATAAAAATAAGAGAGGTGAGGCAGGCAGTACCCTCATGTGTCAATTAAATCTGAGCCACATCAGAATTTACAGTTAAAAATAACATAATGACTTTGTTCTCTCTGTAGGTGACCTGTCTCCATGATTTCTTTGGGGATGATGATGTGTTTATTGCCTGTGGACCGGAAAAATTCCGCTATGCACAGGATGACTTTTCTCTGGATGAAAATGGTAATATCTCACACGCTGATCTCTACTCTATGTATTGGGGGGTTTTCTTCCTTCACTCCACCCCAGTTTGGTGGAGGTTGCTTGTAATTTATTGTATATATTTTTAGCAAAAGTAATTCAGCATCCTTTTGCTTATTGAACAGCTAGTGAATATTAAAATCTGGTGGATTAACTGATTTACTACAAGGCAGAATAGGTAGACTCATTGAAGACACAAACATTTATACTAATTGAAAAGCAACATAATCTGTTAGCCAATGTCCCTCTAGTTATATGCACATGGCTGAATTGGGTATCAGTTATTCCCGAGTAATAAAATCGGACCCACAAAATGATCACCATCCTTATGCTTGAAATATGGGTGCGTGAAATGGGAGCTCAGGCAGTTATGAGCCAAGGTTCTGCCTCTATCTATTGTGGCTGATTATAAAACCAAGTAAGTTGAAAAGAGGGGAAAAAGTTAAAGCCTTTGTGGGGTGACTTATCGTCATGGTTTGTCTTCAGTCCAACTGCCCTGCCATGTCATGTTGTACAAATCGGTGATGACCTAAAGATATGTCTAGACCACAGAGCTCTACATCCAAGGAACGCGTCCGCTTTTCAAAAAAAAGTCAGAAAAGCAGATGCGTTTTGTTGGCATCCCTGTAAACCTCATTTTATGAGGAAGAAGGGATGTTCTGAAAAAGGGGTTTTTTCCCCAATATTTGGCCCCGTGTAGACAGGCCAAATGTCAGAAAAGCCTCTTTCAGAAAAAAAGCAGAAAAATACACAAATCGCAGTATCTTTTTCCAACTTTTCTTTGTAGTGTAGACATAACCTAAGATATGGAATCTGTGATATCATGGAACATACACATCTTGGCTACATCTACATTCGCCCCTTTTCCGGAAGGGGCATGGTAATTTTTGAAATCGCAATAGGGAAATGCGCGGGGGATTTAAATATCCCCCGCGGCATTTAAATAAAAATGTCCGCCGCTTTTTTCCGGCTTTTAGAAAAGTAGGAATAAGATCCTCCGGAAAAGGGCGCTTTTTCCGGAGGATCGGGGCCAGTGTAGACGCTCTTTTCCGGCTTTTCTAAAAGCCGGAAAAAAGCGGCGGACATTTTTATTTAAATGCCGCGGGGGATATTTAAATCCCCCGCGCATTTCCCTATTGCGATTTCAAAAATTACCATGCCCCTTCCGGAAAAGGGGCCAATGTAGATGGAGCCATGAGGATTTAGGTATCTGGTATAACCATAGTTGTGAGCTATTATATGCTACTAATGCGTTCCAAACAGTGCTTGGTGTTAAATAGGAGAGTCAAGTGAGCACTGCTCTTCTTCCAATTCAAGAGTTTTCTGACATCTGAGCTGTGTCTAGACTGACAAGTTTTTCCGCAAAAGCAACTGCTTTTGTGGAAAAACTTGACAGCTGTCTACACTGGCCGCTTGAATTTCCACAAGAACACTGACGATCTCATGTAAGAAATCAGTGCTTCTTGCGGAAATACTATGCTGCTCCCATTCAGACAAAAGTCCTTTTGCGCAAAGCTTTTGCGCAAAAGGGCCAGTGTAGACAGCTCAGATTTGTTTTGCACAAAAAAGCCCCGATCGTGAAAATGGTGCCAATCTAGACGCTCTTTTCTGCAAATGCTTTTAATGGAAAACTTTTCCATTGAAAGCATTTGCGGAAAATCATGCCAGTCTAGACGTAGCTCTGGAGTCTATCTTTATGTGACTCTTGTATTTTTTGATTGGTATAACTCAGATTTCACGATGTGGTAGGCTTTGTGTTGCAGAGAGAGTTTCCACCTTTCTGCCAAAGCTTTGCAGGCAGAGAACGAAGCCCTTGTGAGCCAAAGAGGCTGTTTACAACTGGAGCTTTGCTTATGTTTTAACACCCCACAGTTTAGGCAGCTCTAAGGGAGCTCCCTACTGTAAAACAGCTTGGATGAGATCCTAGCAGAACAGCTTGAAAGAAAGCCAAGCATGGTGCTCCTGGGCCCTTGGATTCTGAACACTTTCACAGTCTGGATGTCATATAACAAAAACCAGCCTGGCCTGATTCTCAGAGGCACTGGACATTAATAATAGGAGCTGCAGGTGCTCAGCATCTCCCCAAAGCAGTGTTCCCTTAGCCCTTGCCATCTTCCCATTCTCCGCCAGCAAATCCCACATTCAGGGATTCAGGATCATTGTATGGGCTAGTGTCATGTGGATGAACATCTTTCATTGCACTTTCTTTCATCATGGGCATGTCTGCCTCCCCAGCTGGAAGATGTGCACTCAGTTTGCTGGCCCTTAGGGCCTGTCTGATGAGACGACAAGATGGGAAGTACCACAAGAAAGGTGTGTCATCTTTTCCCTCCAAATTGCCCATCCCAAGTTCATCCTTATAGTTCCTATGGCTGAGACGCTGCATCTTCCAGAATTATGTCTCTTGTGAACCTGCTGATCGTGGCAACATCCTCTTAGGCTGCAAGAGCCAGTTCCGTAGCAAGCTAATAAGAGACTCTGAGTAAAATCCTGGAACGACTGAAGAAAAATGGAGTTTTGTCATTGACTTTAGTGGGGTCAGGAGTTCATCCTTTCTGAACTTGTGTATCTGTCCAAATACACAGACACAAAGTTGTTGCCTTTAAAATATCAATATTTGCCAGTGATTATTACACAGTGGCATATGAGAGCCTCCATTATTTCTATTATCAAGTATAGGGAAATACTGTTGTCTTTTCATGGCATCCCCTTCTATCCCTGCTTATGTATATGAAATGGAGTATAGCTCAACTCCTCTATAACTGTGGAGCCAGGATCAGGGCTGCTTTTAAGCCATCTGTAAGAACAGATACTACACTTGATCTTAGCCTCCCAACCTCTACTGTACATTCTTTGTATATTGTACATCCTAGGACATTAAACAACAGAGCAAACAGGTTTGTTACTAGTTCTAATTAGTCTCATGTGGTGTCCCTTGAGCCCACTGCAAAGTACTGGCATAATTTCCTCCTTTTCTCATTTTGTATGACCCAATAGCAAACCTTCCAGCCGACTGTCTGGGAGGAAGAAAATGAAGCTGGCTACCTCATTGCAAGCCAGGGGGAAAATTGAGGGCGATTACATTTTCATAGATATTCTGAAGTAGAAATAAATACATAACATACATGTAGGTCAGACAACTTGTTTTCGGTTCACCGACCATTCATTTGCTGCATGCTGCCTTATATCGTTTCCATTAGGGAATCCAGACAAAGGGGTTGTAAATCAAAGCCAGTGCTGGCTGAGCTGAACCTTTCCCCATGAAACATGGGCTGTATGTGGGAGCGCTAGCTCGGAGAAGCACTACACTCTCCATTTTTAAGGGTGTTTGTGTAGAAGTTCTAGGTCTATGAATGCAGGGCTGAACCAATCAACATTTAACAAAGGGGACATGCTCTTCTTATCCTGCTCCTACTTGGGTGAGATTAATGACTTAAAAAGGTGTGGAAGTACTCTTCCCCTTACCTCTCAGTTCAAATAGCCACTGGGTTCAAGATCTTGAAAGCTTGAAATCCTAATTCCCAGGAAGGTTTGTGGCATTTCTAGGCTTCTTTGGAGCCACGGTAGATTCTATTTACATTCTTCTCTCTGCCCAGTGCATTTTTTTTAATAATACACAGACAGACTGTAAGCTGCTTGTGAGTGTAGGAGCATGGGCAGAGTGCCCAGGAGACGAGACTCCATTTGGGTACATTTGCACATGGTGCAACTCCCAAAAGACTGCAGCTTGGAGAAGTCACAGAAGAGGGTTTCTCCAAGCTGGGTGAAATTCTTCCTGGTGCAGATGGTTTAGGCACCACTTAAGGCTTTTAATGCAGGGCCGTAAGAGAGGCTTAAATGGTGCAGTGAGCCTTCTGCTGGTTTTCTGCACCTGAGTAAATTTCACTCATCGTCCGTAGCTGTCACACATGGTCTGGTTAGTGCATGCTGCGTTTTATCACCTTTACCCTGGCCTCAGCTGGCCAGGAGACATATTAATTGTTTTTTATTCTGACTTTTCCCATGGTACTTTCTGCTCATTGTCAATATGCAACAGAGATTAATTAAATAACCTGATTCATTACCCAGGGTGGGCCATTGGAAACCAGCACAGCTAAGGCTGCAGAGCCATGGCCGTAGTACATTTGCCTGGAGTGAGGGCGCCGAAGTGCAAACCACTTGCACCCCCACTCTGCCAAAGGAACAAACTGACCGAGGCAAGCACTGAATCCAGAAACAAGCTCTGCTAGATTTTAACGCTGCCCTCCCCCAGAGGGGATCTCCTCTCTGATGCAGCCCCACTGATAGCTCCATGGGCCTGGCAGCAGCCCCCTGTGCTCTGAGGCATCGAATGTTCCCCAGTGTTTGTAAAGCAAATTGAAAATCTGAAGTCCTGTGCTGTCCTGTGTATCTTTCGCTGCATTGTACAATCAGCATCTTGTACCCTTGGTGCTTTCCACAGGGTAAAGGCCCCAGCAATTAAGGTCAATAAAAACCAGCTATGCTTGTCATTTATCTTATTAGAGTGTCGTGTAATGAAAGGGAATCCTCCGACCACTCCAGGCAGCAAGTCATCCCCCACCCCTCAGAAGAGCTCCGCAAAGAGTCCAGCCCCCATGCGCAGGAGCAAGTCTCCAGCTGATTCAGGTAACCATCAAGATGGTGAGTGATTGTTTTCCGGTGGATGAATATTGACTCCATCCACAGAGGAAACAAATGCCCTGTATCTTTGGATACAGTGACCTCAGGCATTTCTTGTTTCTTTGCATTGTGCTATTGTTTAAAGATTCCAGTTCAGATCAGGGCCCCATTATTTTAAGCCCTATACAAATGCACAGTAAGATACACAAATCCTGCCTCAAACACCTTACAGTCTTGAACAGACAAGACAATGAAGGTGAGAGACAAGGAATATTAATATTCCCTTTCTCCAGAAGGGGAACTGAGGCATAGAGAGATCCATCTGTGTCAGATAAGGTGTTTTTTCCTCTTGGATGTACTTTGATTTAAAATAACCTCCTGTGCAATGTGAGTATTAATAATATACAGTCTAGAACAGTGTTTCTCAACCAGTGGTATGAGTACCCTCAAGGGTACTCAAGAGAAGTCTGGGGGGTACGTCAACACAACTGAAATTTGGAGAAATCAAAATTTTTGTTTTACATTTTACAGTGCTTTATTATTTTTGTACTTTTTACACCCACAATTTTCATCGCCCGCCCGGCTACGATTAAGTTGTTTAAACAAATGTGTTGCAATGGTAGGAAAAAAAATTGTGCGTATGAAAACTGTAGATACTGGGGGTCCTTACATTTATTTTTTTAAAGGGGTGCTTTATAAAAAAAAGGTTGAGAAACACTGGTCTAGAAACACGTCAGTCTAATTCCTACTTAAGAAGATTACAAAACCTTGCCCATTGCAGAAGCTGGCCTAAACTCATTGAAATGTTACTGCGGCATCACCCAAAGCTGAAAATAAATAAAATGGAAGACTTCATTTGCTGCAGTAGCTTTTTATATTTCAGTAATGTGGGATATGCGCTCTCTCTCCAGGATAGACACTGTAGTACGTAAGCCCATGTAGCACACCTGAATGCATTAGGAGATATTACTTAAGCTTTCCTCTATAAGATCAGACGTTAATCTCTTTCAGAAGCAAAACTGTAGACTAAAGGTAAATGGCCCAACATAATGTAGCATCTTCTCTATTGTCACTATCCTACTTGTTGAGCAACTCAGCATGGACAATATGATGGGCCATAGTTTTGCTTATGTGTCACAATGCACACCCATAGTTTGATTGCATTATATATATCAATAAGTAGAATGTTTAGGACGTCTTATCATTTTTGGATATGGTAGTAAATAGCCTGGAGGTAAGACCAACAATAAAAAACAACTTTCAGGTCAGATCCCTCTCATCCAGGAGTAGGCGATAATTTTTGGGGGGAGGCACACCAAGATTTTGGAAAGTGGTCAGAGGCTGTACTTTTCCATGGAGGGTGTGAAAGGTCTGGGATGGAGGTTGGGTGCAGAAGGGAGCTTTGGGTGCAGGAGAGGTGTGAGGTCTGAGAGAAAGTTTGGGTTAAGGAGGAGGTTGTGGCTTGGGGCAGGTGATTGAGGTGTAGGGTCAGGGAGGAATATGGGTACAGGAGAGGATTCTGGCCTAGGGGAGGAGTGTAAGAGAGGGTGCAGGGTCTGGGAGGGAGTTGTGACCTGGGGTATGTGTGGAGGGGTGCAGAGTGTTTTGGTGGTGACCTGGGGTAGGGAGTTAGGGTGCAGGAGGGGCCAGGGTGCAAGATTCAGGCTCTAGCTAGGAGGCGCTTACCTAGGCGACTCCAAACCAGCCCCCAGCGGGACCTTCAGGCACACTCCCTGCCTGCTGCAGCCCCAGGATGCAGAGCAGCTGGCTGCTTCTTTTGTCTCTGGGTGGGGGAGGGTGGGGAGAGAAGGCTTCATTAGCTGCTCTCCGCCCCCCAGCACAATCTCTCAGCTCCCATTGGCCAGTTCCCATTGGCTGCTCCCACCCGTAGCACAGTCTCTCAGCTCCCATTGTTTGGTTCCCATTGGCTGTCCAGGAAACACTTTTGATCCGAATGTGTCACCATATCTACATTAAAGATTTAGAGGCATTTTGCAAACATGAAGCAGTGGTGGTATGCTGGATAATGCTATAGGGATGGGAGCCTGGAGACCTGAGTTCTATTTCTGTCTGTGCTAGTGATTGAGTTTGTTACCATGGGCACATCACTTAGCTTTTCCCCTTCTTTTACGGGGTAATGATACTTACAGTCCTTTCACAATATAACGTAATCCAGAGATGAAAAACTGGTGGAAAGATTCACAGAAAAAGCTTTGAGATGGTTTTTATCTCTGTATATTTGGAGAACAGTTTTGACAAAAAACAACACTAAAAGGGTCTCACATTCTCAGAAAAGTCCCAGCGCTGGAGTGACTGGAATGTGGCATCCTTCCTCTCCTTCTGACCCCTGGCCCATCATTGTTGTGCCTTCCTGCAGGAATAACTGATTGATTGGCCTGCAGTCTCCAGTTCTCCCTCATTATCTTCCCCCAAACTCAAGGAGGGAACACAAAGCCCATGTTTGTCATTGACTTGAGACAACCCTGCAGTCTGTCCCATACTTAGTAGTGTCATGTATTCATTGATATGCAGTAAACAGCCAGATTATACAAGTGAATGGGGACCTATAGTATTCCTGGAGCACCACCAGACTCTGTGTGTAAAGGTGTCTTTGAGTGACCTATTAATACCCACTAGTACTGTCACCTTGATGTGAATTGTAATGCACTGATTATTCTGCTATGATTGGGGAATTTTTATTATCACAACCTCAGCAGAGTCTCGCGCAACTACGTCCCTGATCAATGCTCATTCCCCAAACTCCAAAATTAACAGTGATTAAAAAAAACCCTTAAATTTAACATTTCTCATTTAAAAACAAGAATCAGGCCAAAGGGGCCTGTGCATGGAAGGGCCATGATACTGAGAGTGGCAATCTTTTGCTGCAAGGATCCAAGCTAGCTGGTCCTGGAAGAAAAAGAATTGGAATTCCTCTTTAGAAAACTCTGTCTCCTTGGGTACGTCTAAACTACATGGCTCCGTCGACGGAGCCATGTAGTTTAGACGTACCCAAGGAGACAGAGTTTTCTAAAGAGGAATTCCAATTCTTTTTCTTCCAGGACCAGCTAGCTTGGATCCTTGCAGCAAAAGATTGCCACTCTCAGTATCATGGCCCTTCCATGCACAGGCCCCTTTGGCCTGATTCTTGTTTTTAAATGAGAAATGTTAAATTTAAGGGTTTTTTTTAATCACTGTTAATTTTGGAGTTTGGGGAATGAGCATTGATCAGGGACGTAGTTGCGCGAGACTCTGCTGAGGTTGTGATAATAAAAATTCCCCAATCATAGCAGAATAATCAGTGCATTACAATTCACATCAAGGTGACAGTACTAGTGGGTATTAATAGGTCACTCAAAGACACCTTTACACACAGAGTCTGGTGGTGCTCCAGGAATACTATAGGTCCCCATTCACTTGTATAATCTGGCTGTTTACTGCATGTCTAGACACATCATGGTTGCCTGGTGAAAAATTCAGTTCCCTCCAAAACGAAGGATCTATCTAGAGGCATCCAAATCCCATCTCCTTAAGGTATCCTCCAAAAATGAGTTCTCTAATCTAGAAGAAGAGGTCAAACTATTTTGTTGGTATACTCCTACTCTCCCTTTATTTATCAGATACATTCAATCTTTTTTTCTCATTAACAGTAACAGTAGCTGAGCTGCCTGGGTTTCAGCCCACATAAGTAAGATCAAAATTGGGACAATAGCTCTCTCTAAAACCTGGAACAATTTAAAAACAAAAATAGCAAAGATCAATCTTAGGTAATGAGATCATCTGGAAAATGTTGTTTTTGTCATGTCTCATTGGTATTTATTTATTTTGAAAAGCGTATTTCATCTCAATAACACTTAACAAACTCCCAGAAATTCCTCCATCAAGCCCATATGATGCCTCACATTTAGCAAAGATATTTTAGGATCAGAACTAGAGGGTGTATGAAATCAATGTTTCATTTTCAGGTTTGAAGAAATAATTCCATCATGCCTTTTCACTCTTCTGGAGTTTTGCCTTTGGTAGAATGCATGTGTGTCAAATCGGGGTCCAGTTGTACAAATGTTTGTTCTGTGGCAAGGGGAGTCTATGATTTTTGCAGCAAGAAATGATTAACATCAGCATGCCCTCAGTGACTGCCAGGGGAGATCAGCAGGGCACAGAGCAGAAATTTAAATTTGACCTTTTCCAGCTACAGTATCTAGTGGCCTAGGATTGAATTTGGCTCAGGGAATCAATGAGAGACTGTTGTGGACTTTAATTTCTTGCTTCTCGAATGGAATAGAAAGATAAATACATTTCCACAAGGCAGCAACAACGAGCAAACAGATACAGAATGTCAGTCTGTCTTGACTTCAGACCTGACTCCCAAGGGTTATTTTGAATGAATATGTTAAAAAGGCAGCAGATGTCTTTGGGACGATGCACAATATGGTTCAAACCAGACTGCTATCTATTTCCACTCCCACTTCAGCTCCAGCTAGCTAACAATCTGCACTATACATCACACAGAGATATGACACGCTAAAAGCTATGTTAAAAGAATGTGAAAGTTGTAATGTGAGGCATTCAGTAGTCAGGAAATCTCATATTTAAGATTTCCCATGCACTCTTAATTCAAGCAACTTTGTTTGCATGTATTATGATTATCTTTCAGTACATGATCACATACTATTTTTTTCCATAGGATCCCTGCCACATTCAGTCTGCAAAACTGACAGTGCTCACTGAAAGAATAGCTATTTATTAGTTTATTTTATCTGAATTGTTCAGTGTTTGGTCCTTGAGCTTACTACTGCACACTATACAAACCCTGCTCCTAATACAGAATTATTAATTTCCTCATTGTCTTTTCTATGGCGCTTGTCACTATAGTCTCTGAGTGCTTCACGAATAATGGGTATTATCCCATTTTGAAGATGGAAAACTGAGGTACAAAGAGATTAATATGAGGTTGCCCTTTAAGCCACCTTGAATATTTTAAATAGAGAGACAGAGTAAAAATATTTTAAATAAATAAATAATTT